ACTGGACATTTAATCGACAATGTCTCTTTCCTAAAATTTCCGTCATTATCTCTGCATATTGAAATTTTTTTCTCCCAGCTCCGATATGATTAAAGTTGCCAATACATTTTTATAGACTCTTCCTAAAACCTGCTATTTCTTTCGCAATTATTAGCAGTTGAATTTATCATAGAAAAGATACTCTTGTTTAGAAAGTCCAACTATGTCAGTTTTCGACTTATTTGCATTTAAAAAGTGTAACGTATTTTAATGATTAAAAAATGATTTAAAAAAATACGGGAAACAGTAAAAATCCAATATATAACAATAACTCCAAATCAAATATTGGAATTGCTCACCAATGACATCAATACTTGCTATTACTTTTTCTTCTTAGTGCGGGTTAATTACTACTTCCCCAAACGTATTAACTAGTGATCGCAAAAAGTCTTATTGCTGTTTATTGCTCCTCTAACATTTTCATGTTTTAAGTATAAATAAAAGTATATTACATTACTTTAAACTCCTAAACTAGTGACATTTGTAGGAGGCATGTTGAGCTCAATGATGGTCTAGTATCTCCAGTTTAGAGATTGTGTATAAATGAAAATACGACAAAACAACCAAACAAACAAGAATAAGCACGTCCAATTATCGTGTTAATTGTTATTCATGGTATGCATTTAGACTGTGATTTATATTTTGGCTTCCAAAAATGAATGGTTTAACGGAGACCCGACAAATAATGTCATCGCTCTCGATAATACGCGATTCTAAACTAATTTGGTATTCCGGGCCCCTTAAGCGGAGTGTCGAATTACCTCCACCTGAGAACCGACTCTTCTCCGCGTGCGTTTCACAATTAAATTGGATGTTCGAATTTAATTCCGTCTCAGAGCCAACAATACACAAACCGGTAATTAAACATGAAACTCGCGGAATGTTTTCACGTAAGTATCAATTTTCATAGGAGTTTCAATTAGCCCGGGTTGTGTTTTAATAAAGGAATCCCGTAAATTACATTTGGGTAACAATGGCGTTCCGAAACTATTGTTCCGGAAATTAATTAGTTGTAGACTGGTAAGTGGTTAAAAAAGGCTTAATGAGAAAGGTAATTGTTAAATTTATGGTAAATTAGAGGAGTATTCGTGGGTGAACTTTATTGCAGAGTTACTCCTGCCAGCTCCTCCTTGATTTCATGTTAGTCAAGATCTTTAAGACCACGTACCCACGTTTTGAGACACCCTGTAAGAACCTACAAAGAGACGTAAGTGGTTAAAAAAGGCTTAATGAGAATGGCAATTGTTAAATTTATGGCAAATTAATATATTCAATACTAACATTTTATTAGTTATCAACCGAAATATCGATTTTTATTATATGGAACACACGTTGTATTTTTATATCATTGAACAGGACTTAAAATTACGTTTCCATAAATATAGCATACTTGATATAATTAAATACAATTTAGTATCACTCATAGTTCATGCATAACTGTCTGGCTACTCAAACTGATTACTATTAACTAAGTTGTGTCACTGCTTCGTCTCGGCTTTCATAAAACATAGTATAATATCAATTCGACAAATAACCAAAACTACTACTACGGAGTTGTAGTATTATGGCTGTTCCGTCCAAAGCCTAGTTCTAAACTCTTCAGCAAAATATCAAGTATGCTATATTTTTGGAAAGGGAATTTCAAATTTTTTTAAATGATTTATAAACATAGAGGACTTGAACTTATTAAATTCTACTTGTAAATATCTTCTTAGAAAAGCACAACATTTTCCACCACAAAATAGTTACAGTGATTCTTAAAAGTGCACATTTCATGGAAATTGAGCTCAAGACACGAACAACCGTGTTAGTCTATCTCCTATAAAAAGGCTAGTTTTCCATTTAAATTGTCCAATTTGAACTAGTCTGTGCATTGGAAACTAAAATTGAAATGCAAAACTACTCTCTAAAGAACCAATGGCCTTTCAAAAGCGTTTGAAGTTAGGTTGCAGTTTCATCAACTGGGTGACGCAAGTAAAAAAAAAATATTGATTACTTAAAGCAAATATCATTTAGCATTAATTATATATTTATTAACGGTTGATTAAAAAAAATAGAAAAAGAAAGTTTATTTGTTCCTTTCTGAGGAGTGTCCATAGGCTCTAGCTTAGCTGTATTACATATATTGCATTATTAATAATAGTCCCAAAACTGTGCTTCCATGCCAGTTTTAATATCCTTCTCAAGATATCACATTGAACCTGATCCGACTTCGTTAGTCCATTGTTGAAAATTGAAATTCTTTTGTAATCGTGGGCAGATTCAAAGCATCCATTTATGTGCAGTGGTTTAGGAATTAGCACTGGCAATCTAATCTAAATCGGGAACAAAGTGAGTCCCTAACGACGTGAGACACTGGAAGGATTAATTTAAATCCAGCCCGTCAGACTCGGCGCGTTTTAGCAACTTTAATATCTGATGCTAGTTGTTCTGCATGTATTAAACTTTCTGCAGGCCCGACTCTAACGCAAAACAACTCTCCCGCAGGATAAGCGAAAAGGCCCCCAACGCGGATTCGCGGTCTACCCAAAAGTTTGGTCCTCGTTATTTTAAGCTACTTCTCTTTGGCTGCACAGTTCGTACTCTGTGGATAATGTAACTGATAGACGAATAATTGTACATATGTTTTCGGCAAAAGATGTTTTTGCTAAAACTGGCCCAAACAAAATACAATGTGTACTTTAATGGTGTGCCAATACGGAAAGCAATTCTGGAGCTCATTTTAGAAAAAAACGTCATATTTCTGAAATTTTGAAATGCGGGTTTATAAAGTTTTTATAAAAACCCACATTTTCAGGTGTATAACACGTTTGGTAGACCAGTTTAATATTTATTTTATAGTAAAACTAGTTATTTCTGCATCTTGTCCTTTTTCTATCAGATGCACCTTTCTTGAATAATATTTTTTAAAGATACAGGTCTGGAAGAAACCACAGTTTAACTTGATGTTTATTCCATGTCTTTCGTTAGATTATCTTTTTAATTTTCTATCAATATGGTGAATAATAAGCTAGGTGTATTTATCAGGAAATATTTCCTAATGGAACAGACGAACGAATATTTTTATTACTCATTGACAACTGAAAAGAGGAGTTTTAATAAAGTTAATTCAGAACTAGGAGCGCTATTGCAAGAAATTGGGGAACTGGAAGATGTTTAACCGATAATATTCACATCATATCGAGAATATTAAACTAAATCACTTATTATGTTCACAGATAAAGCAAATAGTTCAAGGAATACTATTGAAAATTTCCATAGTATCGTGAGCGGACGAAAACCCCAATGCCATAACTTTAACCAATTTTCCTTAAAAAGAATGGCCAAGAATTATAAGTAATAATCTAATAAACTCAGTTACATAGAAATTTAATGAAGTCTATGTTTCATGGTAGAAATTTTTTCAATTTTTTTGTCACTAAGACGCAATCCAACGTCGTATGTACTGCCAGCCAATTTTGTCCAATGTGGTTCCTGAGTAGTGCTGTACAACGCACAACGCCTTGATTTCGAATGAACCGATATTTACAGACACTGACAAAACGCCACATTTTTTTTATTTACGGTAAATTTCATAAATTGATTTCAATATGTCCAATTTAATTTTTATTTACTATATATATATATATATATATATATATATATATATATATATATATATATAGATGATGACACTATATTCCGGGATATCATCCGTTCGCTTGTTGAACTCCGACTGGAATCCTGCAGACGTTTCGCCAAAATCTCACTTGCCATCTTCAATGCTCGCGCTCCGAAAACACTTCGAACACGATTTAAATTTTTTAAAATGATTTTGCCCTCCATAACCGATAGATAGAGTCAATTCTAAATAACCCAGTAAACAGTTATAAATCTTACAAAAATGTCCATTCTACAATTTAGTTCTTGAGTTTTATTTACATGGATTGCTCTGACGATTAACTTAACTTCAACGTCAGTGTAAGTAACACGGCCCACCAATACTTGACACCCGAGATTCAATAAATCCTCGAAGTGATTGGCCACCCTAAACCGCTTACACAAAAAGTGATTAATCTCCGGAAAGCTTTGCCGGTGGGTGGCTGCATCGCCTGGGATTATCGCCGACTGTGCAGACATCCAGTGCCCATTATGTCCGATAGAGGCCGCTTCCTAATGCACTTAAAACGTTTCCGCGGCTTAAAGAACATATAGCTTCCCGGCAGCTCGGCGAAATTGGCTTTAAAAGAACTCATCCAGTCATTAAGATAAAAAAATCGGCCATAAGGATGTAATCCTCGGTTTTTCCCGCACGAACATATATCGAGGCGTCGAATTTGGAAGCGTTATATAAATTTTACGTTCTTTTACATTTCGTTTCAAAACTTTCTCACATCAGCATCTAGCTTTGTAGATAACCAATTTTTATTCATTTGTTTTAGTAAGTAGTTAATTTTATTATGAATTAGACCATTTCCATATTCGATATCCTTGTTATCGTCGGCGTTTTGTAATCAGGAATATTATTTAAAAGAATCTGTAACTTAGAACATTTGAAGATGATTATTTTCTTCAATTTCCATTCAAATATCTTTTTTGGAATAAGTGAATATTCTCACAAGTAACTAAGATACTAACAAGATAATGTTTCAGCGTAAATTGTTTTCATTTACTTAAACCGGAACTTAGGCCAATAGAAGCAGTAAAAATTATTTAGACTATTTAAGCAATAAACAAAACCGGTTAAGATTTTCTTTGGAACAGTGGCTCCAAATTTTGTTTATAATTCCAGTACTCCACCCTAGAAATGAAGGAAACATATCAAAAAATTCGATATCCTTTTTTTTTATTGAAAGATGCAATCAAAAATTCTTTCTCCTTTACTGCTGGTATAATTATCAATATTAGATCATTTTGTTAGGTAAATTTTGTTTAACTTTTAATTAAAATAAAAACAAATAAATGTTTTAATATTTTATTTGCAATTTTTTTATTAACTAAAAAACATTTTTAACGAATTAATAATACACTGATTTTCGTTATTCCTACTGGTTTGTTACAATTACACTATCGCCAGGTGCGAGAACAATTTGGGAATCCTCAATAATTTGCCTACAAATATACACGAGTTGCGTAAGTAGGAAATCGTAATCAATAGTAGTCATCTTACCCCGTTTCATAAGTAGAATTCACGCTGCTGACCAATACCGTATACCTGTCCTTTGCATCGAGATAGGTCGTCTCTTGCTGAGGTCCCAGATTAAATACCAACCTGTATTTAAGGTCGTCGAACTGTTTTTCGTAAAACAGCACATTTGCATCACAACCGCCTATTGTGAACCCAGTTGTTTCATTCGCTACTTGATTGGCGATTGTTTGTTTTAGTTTCATAAGCTTCTGATATGTATGATAGTGACTTTTGTTATTTTTCTGCTGGTCAGCGAGATTGGTCTCGTTATACTTGTCGCTGACCGGAAGCCAAGTCTCTGCACCTTCGTTAAATCCGGCGTTAACACTATCATCCCACTGGAAAGGGGTGCGTTCGAAATCTCTTGTAAGGTCGTCGAATGTGCTGCAGTTCCCGATGGCGCTAGGGTCGTGGCCTTGGGCGCAAGTTACTTGCCCATTTTCTTGACCGATTTCCTCTCCCATATACGTAATGGTGACACCATCCATTATGCTTATAAGCATGTTATAACCGTCCACATTCCTCGGACCTACTCGCGTGGCGACTCTGTGATTATCGTGGTTTCCCGTCTACAATCGCGTTTTGATTATATTTGCCCTAACGAAACGATCAGTCATAGTTACTCACTAGCCAATTTGCTGTGTATATACTGGGAAGATCAATGGCCCAGAGTACAACACTCGAGCAAATGTCAGCAGGTTTATAAGATTCGTCTGCTCCAAGCAGATAAAAGTTGAACGAAAAATGTGCTCCTAACCTGGACCCAGTGGCTGTTCCGTAGTACAGAATGACATTTTCTATCGAAGTTGCGCTCTCAGTCATAAAAATTCTGAAATTAAACCATTATCGGATAACATTGTTATTTAATATAAATTATTAACAATCAGGGATACAAGGCGGCTTATATAATTTTACTTTTAAGGGTAGCAGAGCAACGTACCTCGTATCTCCCCCTGCGGTTGCAGTGTAGTTGTCGATAAAATCCCTCCAGTCATAGATCAACTGAAACGTTTCAAATTGGTCCTTGGTGTACACGTGATCCAGGTAGTCATAATTGTTCGGATCAACTCCAGAGTTATTACTGAGTGGTTCGTCTCTAAGTTGCGCATCTTCGTAGATGTGAGGTACCGCGTCAACCCTGAATCCATCCACTCCAAGATCGAGCCAGAATTTCATTGTATCCTAAAGCGCATACTTCAATAACGTATTTTGCGAAACGGCAACAACAGCGATTACCTTCATCTCGTTGTGGACGCTTGCGCTGCGATAGTTTAGATCTGGCTGTTTTGACGAAAACTGATGTAAATAGTATTGTTGACGAACTTCGTTCCATTCCCAACCAGAATTTCTCCAAAGACTCAACTGAAACAAAGAATAGACCAATTACATCGTGAAACTACTGTTTTTACTAATAACTTAGACAGTAAACACTCGTAGACTTGTTAATAAATTAGAAGCAATTTTCTATATTTATGTCAATTTTAAGCATGTTGTTGAAAGCTTCTTTCAGCGAGCTGATAATTGTGGTACTTTTAATTGCAGAACTTCTTGTTGCTTGCTATGCTATGTTACATGTTACAGGTCATGTACGCTTATAGTATCATTCTACATACCCAATTGTTTGGTGGTACGATCTGTCCATCATCTCCAACTTTCCCATCGACCCATAAATAATAATCTTCGTATCCCGCTTCTCTGGATACGGATTTTTGGAACCATTCGTGCTGATCGCTCGTATGATTGGGAACGAAGTCCAGAATGACCTTCAAACCTTTATCGTGAGCACTCTGAACTAGTTGCTTGAAATCCTCCAGGGTACCGTATTCAGGCGCTATAGCTCTGTAGTCGCTAATATCGTAACCCCCATCAACCATCGGAGATTGGTATATGGGCGATAACCATACCGCTTGCACCCCCGTTTCTACTAAGTAGTCCAGCTTCTGGATAATCCCTTGCAAGTCGCCAGTCCCATCGTTGTCGCTATCCTTAAAGGATCGCGGATATACTTGATAAAATGTTGCGGATTGCCACCAGTCTTTGCAGTGAACCGCTGCAATCGTCAGCACGAAAAACAATAATCTCGGGTCCATCGTGCTGGTGAATTCAACGGAAATGCATGTACCATATGTAACACACGTTCAGATATATAGGAACAATACTCAAGTGTTTGATAACAGGTGAAGTGTTATTGAGAACCTTTGATAAGATCCAAGCGACGGGACAAACATGTCGAATCATTTCGCTGTAGGTATATTATTTATACTTCGTTCGCGATAGACGCGTTCTAGACCACGAGATAATATTGAAAATGTACGTGCGTGTGCTGCATGCACTCGCTGTCGTCTTCGCATTTATTCTTCCTATGCTCCCCCGAAGAGGAAGACTAAATACAAAACATCTAGTTCGTCTGATCTACAGAATACAAAGTTGCTGGCCCCTCAATGTGCACAATCATAAATGGGAGTCAGCCTTAACTGTTCCGCAATAAGTTTCCTAAGATGTTACCATCATACAGAACTACTGCATAAGGATACTGACAATATTATCTATTGTTTGTTCTTTTGTTTGGTAATGAAAGCATTAGAAGTAATGACAATGTTTATTCTGCGTATATAATCGGCACTAGCACGCTTCAAAATGCATTTTCCGCTAATAGACACACCAAAGTAGATTCTTGTCACAAAGTTGAATTTTGAAAGTAAATGACATTCTTGTTGTCTTTCAGCTTTGTGAGAAATGACATGATTTTCAAAATTTTAAATAATTTATTTATTAATTATTAACAACATATTTGGTTTCTTTTTCTATGGTGCATAATGCTTCAACTCTTCATAGTTTAAAGTATTCAATATTTCGGGTTCATACTTGACACTTGCGCAAATACGATTGGCATAAGTTCTTCTATTTAAATAGAGAGAACACATTGTAAATCTAAATAGTTTTAATCCATAAATTTAACCATCTATCGAATCCTTATACCTACCAATGTTTAGTTCCACATGTAAAAAATCGATATAATCCATTTAATAGATTGTTCAAATTGCAAAACTAGTTTTATTTATATTTAGTCTCGGTTTTATTTGTATTTTTTGCAGCGCCTTAAAATGATTTTTAACATTTTTGTAGCCCTAAGCAAGAAATTTTAAAAATAATTTCTGAATTATGGAGCAATAAAATGTATCAACTTCAAATAATTGAAACTGCAAAAATCGGCACTTTCGAAATTTCGAATTACCGATGAATTGACGCTTTTACGCACATCAATAGATAAGCGAGCATGTTAAGTGAGAGGGTGGAAACTTTAAAAAATGCTTTTATTCAGCGAGAAAGAACAGGAAAACAACAATTCGAAGCTCGCCTCTGAGGTAGGAACGAATGGTTTCGGCATTTCCTACTGCCGACATTTGAGCGCGACTTCAATCTCTAAAATAGAGGCGAAGATTTTTGCAGGCGCTCAAAAAATTTGCGAATAAAGTCGATACAATGAGAAACGTTGTTTACAAAAAAGCCCAACAGAATTCAATCGATTCACCGAATACGCCGGTCAACAGTTTAGGAAAACACTCGACAAAATTGGATGTCCCGAATAAACACTCACAGTTTTCTTTTTGGAAAAGATTAAATCTAAATTAAAGGAAATAGTTTATATTTTTAGTAACCTCTCCGTAACGGTACAAATTATTATATTTGCATTCATATCGATAATCGACACCACTTCCCTGCTTTCAAAAAATATAAACCTTATTTTTCACAGAAACTTCCACAGGCTACTGTAATACTTTTTACAAAACTTCTGGATTCCTCCTGCGTCTGTTTTTGCTGAGTCGAACTTGCTGACGTTTGGCTTCTTCAGAGCTTGACTGAAACTGGCTCGCATTTTATTATTTGTTATTTGGCCTCATGGTCAAGAAACCCTAATAGATTTTCATAGACCACTGAGTTGCAAACTAATAATAACCTTCAATTCTTAGATATTCTTATCAATAGAAAATCAGACCTAACATTGGGTCATTGTGTTTACAGAAAACCTACGCACCTTAACCTTAATGCCTGGTCACATCACCATCCGGTCCAAACATTATCGGTTATCAGCTCTCTTGTTTACAGGGTCGTAAAACCATCCAAACCAAAATGCTAGCCAGTTTCAGTCAAGCTATGAAGAAGCCAACAGGATGATTGGCGTCAGCAAGTTCGTGCAAAAACCGACACAGGAGAAATCCAGAAGTGTTTTAAATACTAATATAAAACTTTATAGTCCAAAAGACACAGCAGCAGGAAGATGTGTTCGAAATAAATCTGTTTGAGCGAACGTGTGCATAACAACTGATTTAATCGAAAAAATAGAAAAAAAAGTCAGGAAAAAGCATATAGCCATTAGATATATAGAAGACCTGCTTATCCTGTAATACAAGAGCTTTTGAAGCATTGAAAAAAATATGGAAACGATCATTTAATCCGCGGTTATTTGAAATCTCGTTTTCAACCAATAATACCTGTCATTTCGAACCAGCGAATAAGACCTAGCGACGTTCAATAACCAACATGGCCGCTGACACTTGGTCAGTTCCGATAGGTTTCGGTTTAGATATAGCATTTTTGCCGCAGTTTGTCTTAAGTCAGAGTTAACTCTGTTGCTGTTTAGAAAGAAAATAGCGAAAAATACAAGTTAGTATGTGAAATTTCTTTCTTCTTTGTTCTTGGGCCATTATATTATATAATAGCAATAACTAAATAAAAACTATAGCTAGGTTTCAAGTTCCTTTGGATGTGGCAAAAATTTTGCACAATACGTAGGGAACATCTGAAAAGGATAACACTAGTTGGTTAGTTTGTAGTTGCATGGAAATGTTTGAAAAAAATGTCTATTTCAGATTTATTAATTTATTTAGTTAATAACGCGTAAAACCATCAAAACACCTCGTTAAAGAAGACCTACGTATATTTATTTAATGTGCTTCAGAATTCTGAGTGTGAATTAGTCGCAGACGACTTTAAATTTTATAGGGTTACTAAGGATCTAGAAAACTGTATTTTACTTCAAGAGGATATGCATAGAGCACAAAAATAGGCCAGTGAAAACAAAATATCTTTTAATGTACAAACATGTTTGAAACGTTTACAAGAAAAACTATCCATTAAATTACGAGAACTTTAGACACGAAAATAATCTTTGGAACACATATGCATAACACAACGAAAATATTGGGTTTTAGTCTTCGGAACAGATCAACATTTGAATTCACAAATATATTGAGGAGAGAGAAAATTACGAAGAAATGTTTACGCTTTTTATACTCTAAAGACATGGAATATACATATTTCACGTCCCATATCAAACTTTACTTCAAGAATTTCGTTATGAACACTAGAATCAAGACGGAAGCAATCTGCATGAACGTTCTTTTTAAAATTAGTTATGAAATTGTTGTTATTTTCTTCTAAGTAGGGTAAAGTTGAACTGTATCCCCTATTTCACAAATAGAAGTAACGTTTTTTATTTAAATAGACCCCCTACCAATGTTGCTGTTAACTCTCCACTATTCCGAATGTGTATTTAACGAACAGTTTTAATTGTACTTGGTGAAAGTTCATTCAAAACTCAGTTGAAACAATTAGCATTTAAAACCTGAAGTATTGTATTTAGTTCTATCTGTAAATTTCACTTCAATTATCAATTATTTAATTATGCACTGGTGTTTTTTGGTTTACGGAAGGAAGATTTGTGTTTGTAATCTGTTATTGGGCTGTGAAGTCTGTTGAATGCAATTAAATAAATAAATAAATAAAAATAGTTTTAGTATATATAGCGATATTTCACTTTATTCTTTGATTGAAAATATGAAATTATTAAAAAAAAATCCTCATTTTTTTCTTATATTGTGAGAGTGGTCTTAAACTGCTTAAGACTGCTGTTAAATTTAAGTTGTTTTTTTTACTATTTATAGTCCTGCAGCACAACCAATTTGGCCACCTTCACGGTGAGTGTTGGCCCCCAAAGGATGCCTCCGTGATAAGAGTGTAAGGTCGCGGATCCCCATACAGATAAAAATGAACAACAAAGGAAAGGCGAGAAACCATTTAGCTAACTACAATTTCAAACCACATGTTTCCAAGAAAGGAGAAATATTTCTAGCTACAGTCAAGCTACGTTGGATGGAATGATATGGAACGGAGAGGGAAAATTACTAAATAACCCATATAAAACTTGCGAATTGCCTCAATTGAATTGCCTCAACAATCATATAATACAAGAGTCAGGTCACCACAATCGCAATTTTGGGTAGGATTAATACCTATGCGACTTAGATGGACAGGCGAGCTGGAATGGTTACTTCTTAAACGGCATAAAATTATGACTTCTTTTCTATTCATTGCTAAACTATTAAACCAAGACTTAGTAGGAGACGCATAAAACTGTGAACGAACTTAAGTCGAACCATGGCCCTCCATGTACCTAAGCATTCCAAATACTACTTTTGAGTTGAACTAAGAAACATCATCTAAAATGTATTGTAGGTTCTAACCGACCAGGAGTTAGGCCGAAATGTTTGCTTCCTACTGGTGAAACGAAGAACGGACTGGAAGAAATGGACATACGTCACCAATGCACTTGCTGTATGTGTCAAGACGGATACATGGAAACGCAGCTTAACATCCTCGCGTGTATTTGTTTGAAGCAAGTCATGGTTAAGGCATTGGGTTGTCGCGCAAATCTTTTTCGTTCAGAGGGATCGCGCTGCGCCGCTCGAATTGTACCTTTTCCTCTAATTAACTACCTCACCTTGGGCGTTATTTTTAATAATTCACGCGAATTTGGCAGCTTAAACGAGAAACTTTTTAAATTGCCCAAGCCAACCGCGGGTTTCATGAATTCTTAATAAAATATACTTGTTTCAAACTTCGGAGGAGGTCGAACGAGTTACTTTTCATTAAGGCGAGTACAATATTTGCCGTTAAAAAGGCCCATTCGATGGTCCGAATTACAGCCGAAAGTTTCGTAATAAGGAGGGGGAGGCCCGGGGCTTTTTTCCGCTGCAAGTGGTTGGTTTTATATTAAAATCGTAAATTAGTTTGGATTCTCGCAAATTGGTTTCTATTGTGGGCGTCTGCGATAATAAAAAGTTTCGGGAATATGAGAAAACTT